CCAGCAAACAAAGGCCCTTTTCAGGGCCACACACCTCCTCTCATCAAGAGCTCATGTTCTGGTTCTGTCAGTGTCGTATCATGTCTGAATGTTACTGAACGTATTAATGCGGTGATGCTGGTTCAGGTCGATAAACTCATGAAACTGGAAAGAAAGTGCTTGTAGTTCATAAGCATGGATTCCTAAATTCTTTTAGTTTATATCCAAGTGATGGTGCAGAGCATCTGTACACTAGTTTGACTGCATCTATAAATACTTGAGTATCAGTAATTTAACATCTTGGATGACCAGAGCTACCTGACTGTATCCACTCACTGGTATTTAAATAAAAGCTGAGTTTAGCCACAAACACCTTTCATCATCATCAGTCAAGTGTCTTGTGGATTCTGAGATAAAATGGTAATGCAACGTTATTTTTCGGTTTTAAATTGTATTTTAAACTCTACTTTCGTCCATCTGAGCTAAAAACATACTAAAAGAAAAAAAAAAAAAAAAACGTCCATCTGAGCTAAAAACATACTAAAAGAAAAAAAAAACTGAAGAGTATACTGGTCAGAACTGCTTTTGATGTTTTGAATATTTTAAAGTTTCGTAGGAAGTCCTCAGTTTATGTGGGCTGAGATTATTCTTAGAAACGCACACATGCTTTATAGGAAATGAACACTTTACACTCGTACAGAAAACAGTTAATCAGTGTGGACGGATCATTTAAATCTGATCACGCAGCCATTCATAACTACAGAGCATGCTCAGTCCGACTTACATCACATCGACCAATCGTGTGTGAGCAACGGCGCAGTACTATTTGCATAAGCCGCCTATAAAGGCAGCGTACAGGCGGCAGCGGGTCAGTTGTATTCATTGCTCACTATGCCTGAACCAGGGAAGGGTGCGCCCAAGAAGGGCTCCAAGAAGGCCGCGTCCAAATCCACCAAGAGCGGCAAGAAGAGGAGACACAAGAGAAAGGAGAGCTACGCCATCTACGTGTACAAGGTGCTGAAGCAGGTGCACCCCGACACCGGCATCTCGTCCAAGGCCATGGGCATCATGAACTCGTTCGTCAGCGACATCTTCGAGCGCATCGCCGGCGAGGCGTCCCGCCTGGCCCACTACAACAAGCGCTCCACCATCACGTCCAGGGAGATCCAGACCGCCGTCAGGCTGCTGCTGCCCGGAGAGCTGGCCAAGCACGCCGTGTCCGAGGGCACCAAGGCCGTCACCAAGTACACCAGCTCCAAGTAAACCCGCTGACCTCCAGCAACACACCAACGGCTCTTTTCAGAGCCACACACTGCATCTGTAGAGCTCCATGTCCGCTGCTCACCTGCTGCTGTTGATCTCCATGTGTTCAGTTTGTCATGTTTCGTTAATGTGGAGCTAATCAGCCAGAGTTCTGTGTTTACCGTAATGTCTGGACTATTAGCCGCTAGTTTCTGTTTTCTATTTTAAAGATTACTTTTCTGGCATTGTTGCCTTTATTAGAGAGACAGTGTGGAATTGAGACAGGAGAGAGGGGAGGACCTGCAGCAAACTG